ACCTTTTGCTTACAGAGACGGGCTTATATTCTGGGCCAATAACGGCCCTTCATCTTCCTACAGACAAGCCCAAGGCTTGAGTTGGCTCATAACCCACAAGTACTAAAAAAATGGAATCAAAAGTCCATACTACCCATAACCCACGAATTAAAACTCACGGTTGCCCAAGTCAAGAAGAGCTAAAAACACGTTGCCTGTTGTGTGGTGTGAGCAAACACTGCCGATGATTTTTTTTTTTTTTTTCTATGTTCACACAATTCTTTCTTTAATTAATTTAGGGACACTAAATTCAAATAATAATTTTAATAAAAAAATTGATATACAAAATATATATATGACTTAAACATTAAATTTAATGATTATTTTTTTAAAATATGATATTTTTGAATTAAAACTCTATGAAATGGAATGCAATATAAATTATTCTCTATATTACAACTATTTATAAGACATAAACTTATATTATCACTACCTAACAACTTAAACATTTCAATAATCATTTTTTTTTATAAAAATAAAAAATTTTAAATTTAAACTAATTTCAATTTATACAATCAAGCCGGTAAAATGGATTCAATAATAAAAATAATACATATCAGTATTTATTTATTTATTTCTTTTCAAAAATGGTGTTGTTTAGACTCATGAAGGTATCTCTGCAAAACCCTACAATTTGGTGTTTTAGTCGACTGATACCTTTTCGAATGAATGAGATTCGTTGCAAAAATTAATCGTGAAGTGAGCATAAGTGACTTGATCAAACCTTAATTACGACAGTTTCTGTGAAGGTGTGCTGTCACTGACGAGGGACAGGTGGGTGTGCAGCGTGCATTCTCTGATACGGATGGCCTTAGGTCAAATAAGAGTTAGGCATAGGGTAGGACAATTTCACAAGATGGACAGCAGAAAATTTTCTAAGGCATTAAACAAATGCAGAGGGGATAGGAGCAAGACGGCAGGTCGGCAGCAATGCACATGACTAGGGCAGGTGGGAATGGCGCTGCCGGCTAACTCTTGTGTATTCTTGTGACCCCCACTATTTTATTAAAATTATTTAAAAGTTAGTTGTTTAACTAATATTTTATATGTTTATAATTTTTTAAATAATTAATTATGATATTTAAAAATATTAATTTATAAATTAAATTAAATTTATTAATTATTTTAACAATTAAACTAAATAAAATTAAGTTATCTTAATAAAATAAGAGATGATTATAACTACACCTCCAAGAACATATATAATAGAAGTTCTCTTTCATTGTTCTTTCTCAAAACAGAATAGATATAGAGTTTTTCCCCTATTAAGGTATTTTTCAAAACTTAATTTAATTCTCTGCATCGACACAATTTAGGTAAACATTTTTAGGTCAAAAAAGGTTAAAATAATGTCGTTTTAGTTTATTTAGCCGTAACATTTGACTAGATCTAACATGCACGTCAACTTCATGATAGATATATCTGATAGGTATATCGACGTATACTTATCACTTTTTCATAGCTGTTTAAATCTAATAGTTGAGATCTTTTTAAAAAAATTCAATTTAAAATTTTTATTTAAATACACAAAATATAGATAAAATAAAATAAAAATTGTATGATTGTTTAAAAAATTTTGTTTAAAAATATGTATAGGAGGAGAGATGTAGTACCAAATGTTATATTTAAATGTTAAATATATAAAAATATAAATTTATATAAAATAATATTAATGATAATAATATAACATTAAAGTAAATTTTTTCGATTACTTCTCATGGTAAATGCTCTTAACTCTCCCCCTTGATAAAAGAATAAAGATCGGATATTAAAATTGAAAAGGTCGAATCTTTTGGGGCTCATAATTCATAATGATTGAATGAAAAAAGTGGGGGTCTCCTCAAACCACGTATCGACATGACCTGCTGAGCCCATCTCACCACTCAACTTTGACCCTTGAATGTTCGTCGCTGCACCCACTTTAAGAGTCTTGGTCTATGAGGGTGTGACCCATTTAAAATGACCACACTAAATTAACTAATTAAGACCATTTTGTGTCCCCATCCATGGACCATACATGTGCCTAGCCACATCACAACAATTGATCTTATACACAAATTTTTATTATCAATTATATATACAGTAAATTCACATATAATACATATTGTACAAGTGCAGAAATGTAGGACGTAAAGTACGTACCTTTACACAACTCAATAGTTGGCCCATTACATCTACTAGTGTTTCTCCTGTGGAGATCCATCACATGCATATGCATTCTTTCCTCTGCTGAAGCCATGACCCAAAGATAAGATAGGTTTCTTTCCTCAGTACCGCAAGAGGGAGGTAATTAACAAAAGCATCGTTACCAATGATCACGGAAGAGAGAGAGAGAGGGAGAAAAATGAAGACAATAGGAATAGCAATTAGCATCAAATGATGGTGAGACGAATTAGACCTTCAACAGTTCTACAAAGAAACTTTTTCATTCATGTGTGAACCTACATTGTGCCACGTATGTGCCGACATCGACATGGAATCAAAGATCATTATGGTTGTTCCAAGTAGGACGCGAAGCCAATCATGTGCCTTGTTTCTTAGATTTTAACTTAGAGACGGAATTGGTAAAGAAGGTTTAAGGTGGGGTACAGAAGTTTGTTCTCTATCTTGTACCTGAAATTGTTCATGCCTCCTTATCCTTTCTACTCCTTTGAAGCATGTTATCAAACACATTTGCACCGTCAAACTTCTATCGGAAATCAGGGCCAGAGGTAAGTAAAGAACCTGTGGGCCAATAAATGTTTCTTAAAATCCATTTATTAATTATCATTTGATTAAAACAATTTTAATGATTCACATTACAGAGTCTTGCATGATATATATGCTTAAGGTAATTTTACAAATACTTAATGGATCAAAAATCCAAATAACATATATACCCATATTAAAGAAAAAATGTTACCTAATTGAAACGTTTGGTTTCATATAGAAACACAGGATCTAGACTGTCCAGAAAAACCAACGAGGGGTTGGATCAAGTGGCAAGCGATTTATTCCAACTTAAGTAAGGTTTCGAGTTCGAAACCTTGTGTACGCAACAGCCTTCATTGGGAGACTCACCCACCATTTTGGTGCGCCACAGCTGATCAAGTCTGGAGTAGTCGGGGCGAAGCCACGGATACCGAGCGAGAAACCAAAAAAAAAAGACTGTCCAGGAAAAGTGAATACCATTTTCTTTTTAAAATTACTCAAGGATATTTGGCATAGACCGGCCCGTGCACGACGGACTGGCCGTTGGGGGCATCAATCTTTCTATGGTGATCCGTATGTCCTTCTACCTCAAAGCACCGCACATGCATGCCCTTAACTAGAATACTTCACACCAATTAGATCTTCAACAGTTCAACCGGCAACTTTCGAAACAACATTGGGCCACGTATGTGCCAACATCAACATGAATTGGGAGATTATGGCTGTCGAAGAAGGGCGCAAAACTAATCATGTGCCCTGTTTCTTAGATTTTTCTAAGAGACAGATTTGATGTTGATGATGTAAATTAGTCCATAGTTGTTAGTCTAACAAGTAAATTCCTGATATAATTACTTATCAACTTAGCTTAATTGATAAAATTAAGAGTTTATTTGGTGTCTTATTGACTTATGTCAATTTTCAAAAAAATACAATAAAATAATTATTATTTGATAAAAATTAACCTAATTGATAAGAGAATTTATCCGTTCACTTACTTTATTTGACTAATTGTTTGGGACCGAATTGATGAAGCAGCTAACTGTTATCCAACTAGCTTGTTGAAAAAGAAGTACAAACTTGATCAAGAGAGTAAAAAAACGCTGTGGAGTTTCAAATCAGATGTCCTTTATAACGGGCATATATTGATTGAAACCAGTGTCCTTCAATGGTATCTGCTGCCAATTTTCCTTCACAACAATTTCATTTGGTTCTCATTCATCCAAGTCTCTTACCTTATCTCTTCACATGTCATCTCAGCATCAATACACCAGAGAATGAGAGCACATGCTGTAGTCCTGTTTCGGATTATTTCCGTTCTCACTATAACAATGCACGATCTGATCAAGTAAAATTAAAAGATGGGTATATGGCCGCATGTTCTTCTTCTATGCATGGGCTTTCACCCCTCTATGTTGCTTATAATCAACATTAATTCAACTTCAATAATTACACATTGATTGATGGACTTGATTTTCCACTATAAAAATATCTGCCCTGTCCTTCAATCTTCCTCTCTTACCATTCAAACGCACACATACATTCTCTTTCTCTTTCTTTTCTGCCCTTCTCCAAGTTTTACTTTCTTCTATCCATTCAAAGTCAAGTATCATTCTAGTATTAACATCGATCAAGTACTTTCTCTCTAGGTATGCTTGATTTTTTGCCCGTTATATTTCGCATTTTATTGTGTTATCTCTATCTATTACTTTATTGCTTTCATAAATAAATGTATCATAACAAAAAGAAACTGAAAACTAAACTAAGTAGACGTAGACGTTAATTGGTGTGCAGTCATGACACAAGTAGTGTGTATCCAAGTTAATTAATGATCGATGTTGAGCTAGCTAACTAGTACACTAAGCTATCTAATGTATTTCATATTTGCAGAACATACACAATCCACAGGAAAATCCTTCACAATATCAGGAAGCAAACAATGGAGAAGACCAGAAATCCCATGATGGAAAATTTAAACCAGGTAAGAGATGCAATAGAAAACTTTATCTTTTAGTGGTTTTATAATATGGAAAAACTCTTTTGCAATTTGTTTTATGTGAATTATATATTTTATAATTATTAATGAAGGAAGAACTATTCCAA